CCCTCTCTGTAGGGCTCACAAGTACACACACACACACACACACACACACACACACACACACACACTCTCTCACATGGAGCTGTGGGGGGAAGTACATGAGGGTGCTTCTCAATCCCCTGCTTCTCCAGCAAGTTCTCCTGGCCACACTAAGGATGAAAAGAGCCTGGAGGGAGGGCAGTAACCCTCAGGGCAGGAAGACCAGCTCAGTGACTGCAGAATACAGGTAAAAGAACTGGAAACCAGTATCAAAAAGCAAGGTAGTATGATAGAACTGTGCTCATCCCTTACTAAGCTTTCATTAACTGATTGTACTAGGGCAAGTCACACAACTTCTCGCTCTCACTCTGACCTTCAGAGTGCTCATCAGTAAAAAGGGAGTCATGATTACTTCTTTCTTACAATCTCATCATATGACTTAATGTTGTTGCACAAAAGCCTTTTGTACACTAGAGTTGTGAGAAAAAGTGCCAGCTATTCATGGTATTGTTTGTGACAAGCAGTGCTGGGCTTCTCCTCCCTGCACTCTGTGCTCACAGAATTCTCTTGCCCACTGAGACCTTTTGCCAGTTGCTTTTTGTGCCCCACACTGAAATTCTCTCGCTTGCAACTCAAGTGGTGAGAATACTTGGTTTGGGACTAGGATGGATTTTACATTATTGCCTGGAACTCCAGCTTAGAAGTAATACATGCTGGTTTCTGTTCCCTCCTTTTTTGGGTAGCAAAGTGCTCAAGTGCTGACAGGTTCTCAGGTACAAATCCATAAAGAAAACATTGCTGAGAGGTCTCTCTGAAATCTGTGACTCATACTTTCACAGTTATAGAACTTTGTGCAGCAAAATGGTAAATAGTAGAATGAGAATAGCCTTGAAGGTCATCTGGTCCAACTTGCTCATATTTTAAACGGGAAACTATGAAGGAAGGAAAGGATCTCACCAAAGATCACAGAGTAAGTTAGAACAGAGTTGCTGTGCTTCCCTCACATGCTGGCATGGCACCGCTTTATTGGGGACATTAAGAGACTTGCTTGTCATGTTTACCCTTTCTGTTATCCTGTTCCCATAATGAAAGTTACTACTTGTCTCACATCTTAGTTTTTTTTGTCACTAAGAGACAAAAGAGTACACACCCACAACTCTAAGGAGGAAAGGTGTATAGGGGATTCGGTCCACAGTCAGCTGGCTCCAAGAGGGCAGCATAGCAGGGGGTGGATCACAGAGGGGAAAGAGTTCATGGCCTGGCACACAGGAGGCAGAGAGATCCGTGGGGAGGGGACAGACCCTTTCCTGCCATGTCCCCAGTGACCTAGCTCCTCTGACCAGATCCCACCTCCTAACAGAAAGTCACTATAAACCCTCAGCACACCAGCCCCCGTTAGGTGCACTGTGATCCACTCACCTCCCACAAGCCTTACCTATGAGCCCATGAGGCTTTGGGGACATCTAGACCTAAACCATAACAGCTCGCATTGCTGCAGCCCAGAACGAAACAAGCCTGGGTCTGCAGCCCCAGTCCATCTGCACCTTCTCCTTTATCAGACGTTACTAAGTATCAGCTTTGCTCCAATAGCTGAGGACACTGAGATAAAGGATTCAGGGCCTACCTTGAAGGTGTTAAAAATGAAGTGATGAGAACAGACCAGCACCCATCCCCTAGACAAAAGGCTCTTTTCCATTTTCCGTGCCATTAAATACAGCACTCATCCCATCTGTGAACCGCATGTCATATGTAAGGACTGCACCCACTGTCCTCATACACAGATGACGAGACCGATCTCTCCACAGAGATTTATATCAAACACTTCAGTCTCCCTCATTTATTCATTCTCTCAAAAAAAGACATTTGTTAACCACCTAGTACACATTACCGGAGACTCGGAGGTAAACAAAGGATAGTCCTCTCCCAAGAAACTAACTATCTAATAGAAAAATAATGATCTTGGAAGGTTTATACAGCCAGGGAGATAGGAGAAATGGTGTCCATGTCTGCCTAAAGGTTTAAGAGCAGCTGGTTCGTGAGCTGAGCCTGCTTAGAGAACGGGAGGGTCTGGTGAGCAGACAACAGGGACACCTTCTAGGAAAAGAGCAGGTGCAGAGCTGTGGATGTGTGGAATGTGAACTTGTGGAATGGTAACAGGTGATGACTGTTAGTATGTGAAGCGAAAGGCAGGCAGAATGTGAGGATGTGAGCAGGCAGGACTTTGTCACGAAAGGGTGTGGGGCTTTGTCTTGGAGATGGAAAATGTTGAGGGTTTGGGGAACAGATTACAAGGTTTGTATTACAGAAATTCACTCAGTCCTGTGCAGGGTAGGTGGAGCCAGGGCGCTCAGTGAGGAGGCCAATCGTCAGTCTGGGCAAGACCTGACGGGCTGATGAGGGCAGGGGCGACACCGCTCTGAGCCAGGCCAGAACTTGACTTTCCACGGGACCCACCCACATGCAGAGCGAGACCTGCTGCCTGAGGCATGCAGTTATGCGCATGAGTCTCCAAAAGTGTGACTCACGGTCCCGACAATGCACCCTGTGTGCAGGGGACCACCCTCTCCCAGCTGGCAGGGACAGTTAAGGCATTACAAGTGACCCATGGACAATCCTAACTGTTGAACTTCTAAAGATTCTTGGGGAAGGTGGTTTTTAATACCTTTAATCCATTTTCCCATCATTAATACAAAGTCACTTCTAAGCTTGTAGTTTTAGTAAATCTATCTCTTCCAAAAAAAGCATCAAGGCTGCCAAAGTGACAGATCCTCTCTCCGTTCATCTTAGATTTGACCTTGCTTTTTTTTTCCTTCTGTTCCTTTACCCGAAATACCTTTCGTCCTCTTGTCTCTCTAGGATTACATACTGGAGCCCTGTAGATCCAAGTTCCAATCCCAGCCTTGTTGTGCCCTTCCTGTGACTCTGTACCAGTTGGCCCAGGGTTCTGAGGCTCAGAGAGCTGCCCTCGCCATTGATTCCCCCTCTCTCCACAGCCAGCACTTCACCTTCGGTAGCTGCTACTGTAACGGAAGTTTGTGCCTCTGTACTGAGAAGAGCAAAGTGCAGCATTGAAAGGCTTGGTGATACATCTTTGAATGATCAGAATAAACATGAATTACAGTTTTCTTACCCAAATTAATTAAACCTGACATCAGAGTACCCACTTGATTTCCATATCCAGCTGTGGAATCCCACAGTAACTTATAATTAAGAAACAGTTGCTAATAAGAGACTTGAAACTAAAAGCAAACATAGAGGAGCTCCACCACAAAGGGCATTTTTGCTGATCCTGAGTACTCTTCCCAAACTGAAGAGCTTAGGAACACCTGGCCATCCTACCATTACCACCTGGCTGCTGCCAGCCGTTGGCCGGCACCAACTGGAAGCCTTCCCTGGGAGTAGCATAATTTGCTTTCATTACAGTGAAAGAATTATTCAGTGTTAGGACATGTTCCTGACAATGGGTGTGGATCTTGTTTTAGGAGAAGATTTTTTAAAATAATGACAATAAAGTACATGATCAACTTAGCCCTGCTGAGCTCTTACAAGCCGTAGACCCTGCTAAGAGCCCAGGAGAAGATTCATTTCATGGACATTGAAGAACCAGATGAATCCTTCAAAACCTGTCTCACTCTACTCGAAGTATACTTTAAAGATGGACTTGTAGTTTTATTATTCTGGTGGCCCTTCAGATTTTCAAGATTACTTTGACTTTTAAAATCAATCTATGGTTAATTTGTTGTTTGAAATCTTTTCATTATTATAAAGCAACAGATTAAAGGGAAAGGACTTTAAACATCCTTAATTTTGTAGCACTAATGCAGCAACTATTTTATTTATTTGTTTCAAGAGATGTAGAAAGATTTGCTAGGCAAAATTAAAGAAGTATACACTCAAAGGGATGTAGAAGAGGTATCTGAAACTATTTTAATGACAAAATATTCTTCTGGGTCTTTGCTAGCCAGGTTATTTCTTAAGTAGTCATTACTGAAAGAGTTTTATAGTACCTGCTTTATTAATGACGCCTTTATTAATATCTGCTTTATTACTTTAAGTAACACGTATAGGAAGTAGCTCAATCAGGAAAGACTCCAAATATACCTCATTGCTTGCACTGTAACAGATTAGGTGCACAGTTGGTACAGGTAATGTTATTTTATGCCTTATAATTTGTACTTCCAATCCTAGCAATAATTGGAATTCACCAACCAATCCCTAGAAAGCAACAAGAGTTTCTTAACTCTGAAGACAACACTGTAGAAAATGTATAAAGAGGGGAGTAGAGAATGAAAGTGACTAATGAAAATGAGTTACTTTCACTTTTAAAAAGCTAAAATTTTAGAACTGGGACAACTAAGATGCTGTATGATTGCTCTTCAAGTGTTTAAAGCTACTTTCTGATAATTGATTACGAATCTTTTTATTCTTGTCAACAATCCCTTTTAATAGCCTCAGGATCTAAATGTAGAATCTGACACTGGGGCAGGGTTTGGGTTGTAAGTCTGCAAGCCCAGCCACGTGGGAGGCTGAGGCAGGAGGATCACAAGTTTAAGGGCAACCTGGGTAATTTAGTAAGACCTTGTCTCCGAATAAAAATAAAAAGGGCCAGGGATGAAGCCCAGTAGTAGAGTGCATGTACGCGGTCTTGGGTTCAAGTGCTGCTTACCCACCCATCCACTCAGTGCCATGAAAACATCAGGCACCCGGTAGAAAGTGCTAATGGACTGTAATTAATAAAAGGAGAAGCAGAAGAGCGTCCCCTACCTGATCAGAGCAGCCTAAGGGGGATGGCCGCGGGCTTCCGCTCCGGGGCCCTGGGACGATGACGTTGCTGCGGAGGCAGTGACCTCACAGCCCTTCAATCTGTCTCGCAGTCTGTTTTGTTCCTGTCTTTTCTGTCACTCCAAGAAGGAGGTGGACCTGGGGGACTGAGCAGATGGCCGCAGCGATCCTAGACGGGGCCGCGCGGAACCCCAGGTGACCGCTCTCGCCGAGGCTGACCACCTTGGTTTGCTCTTCTCCAGGCAGAATGGGAAAGCAGAACAGCAAACTGGCCCCCGAGGTCATGGAGGATCTGGTGAAGAGCACGGAGTTCAACGAGCACGAGCTCAAGCAGTGGTACAAGGGCTTCCTCAAGGACTGCCCGAGCGGGAGGCTGAACCTGGAGGAGTTCCAGCAGCTCTACGTGAAGGTGAGCACTTCTGCGGCTTCTGTCTTCCCTGGGCCGGAAACAGACAAGCTTCACATGGGATTAATAGTAGCCAGTTTGTTCCGATCCCGATTTTCTATCCAAAAGAAAAATACGCATTCTTTAAGAAGTGGAAATGTACCTATAATCCCAGGTATCAGGAGGCTGAGGGAAGAGAATCAAAAGTTCTAGGCCAGCCTGGGCCAGACCCTACCTCAGATTCAGACTTTTAAAAGTAGGGAATGTAGCTTCCTACTGGCACACTTGCCCACACATACAAGGCCCCGGGTTCCATCCCCAGTACTGTAAAAAGAAAATGTGTGTGTGTGTGTGTGTGTGTGTGTGTGTGTGGTGCTCAAACTATACAGTGAATATTAAATATTGTTTTAAACGATGACAGTAAAAGACACATTGCGATTAATCTCCCTCAAAGTGCTCCCCCTAACTTGGAGCACATTTCTCCCCCCACTCTTGCACTTTCCGAGCAGTTCTGGAGTCCTCCTTTATGAGCATCTTTGTGAGGTGTGATCAAACAGACAGTGCTGCTTCTAGATGCCAGCCAGTGGAAAGGCAGGCTTATAAGCAGAACAGCATGTCCTCATCCACCTTATTCACTTGATCTGGCATCGAGTCACTTCTGGCTCTTCATGAAAGGTAAACATTCTGAACTGATTCAAGACATCAGTGTAACTGAGACACTAAACAAAGAGGTCTTCAACTGTTTCAAAGACTGGCAAGAATGACGAGGTAAGGGTGTTCAAAGCAAGGGGAGGCTGTTGAGGGAGATTAATGGAAATGCGTCTTCTACTATAACAAACTCTTTCCATTTAAACACACACTGTATTTTCCAGTCTCACTTCATGTGTATATATAGTTCCAGATATAGTCAAACAACCTGAACAAGAAGAGTAACTGTTGCATCCGTCCACTGAATAGGGTTTAGAGGACCAGCATCAGTGAAAGAACAGTAAAAACCTCAGATCATTATGTTTGCTGATGAGTATTGACAAGCTGATAATGAAACATTGTTTGACTTTGTGAAAACATGTGTGTGTGTGTGTGTGTGTGTGTGTCATAATTAAAGATAAAATATCTGGGAGAGCTTTTTCATCAACAAACGTTTCCCCATATGCAGATAAGAATCCAGATTCTCACTACAGCCCATTTAGGTGAAAAGGGTGCAGTAAGATTGGGACATCAATATCAACTCCACTGACTCAACATCTGACACTGTTTGGAAGCTGACCTTTCCCCGAATATTAGATAGAACTTTCCCATAAAAGTATAATTTCTACTGCAGCAGTATTATTTTGACATGCCTAAGTGTATTAATTTTATTGGTTCTAGTTCTGGCACAATATAAGTCATTCTGGTTTGTGTATGCTTATATAATGTTATAATTATGGAAGAAACTGCATTTTTAAATTTTTTTCTGACTAAAATACCAAATAGAAAATATTGCTTTAATCCTTTAATTGTGGCAAATGTCAGTTTGAGTAATATGAACTATCTAAATTACATATACACGTATATGGGATATTCGTGTAGAATTTTAAATGTTATCATCCTCTCTTAAGCAGAACACTTTCCGTAGCCTGTTATTCAGCAGTATGACTTTTTTTTTTTTTTTGGTACTGTGGATTGAACTCAGGTCCTTGCGCTTGCAAGGCAGGCCACCGAACCGCTGAGCTAAATCCCCGGCCCTCAGCAGTATGACTCTTGCACGCAAACATGCAGGGCATGTGTAAGAATGCTTACCATCACGTTGCTCACAGGTACAAAACTGGGAAGCAACCCAATTGCCCACCAAGTGGAAGGCGGAAAATAAATTGTGGTATATTCACAGGATAGAATGTTACACAGCCATCAAAATGGTTGGACTCCAGAAATGCTAAGACACTAAGTGCAGAAGTGAGTTTTAAAGATTTTAAATCAAACAGAAATAAAATAAAAATATGCTTTCACAGAATCACAAGTAAATGCAATGAAATGGCATAAAAAGGACAGGAAAGGAGTGATGGATACAGGACTGATGCAGACTGATGGTGGCTTCTAGTGGAGAGAAACAAGGGAAGGAAACAGGGGTTACCTGTGTGGCTAGACGAAGACTGTGTCAGAGTCACGGTGGTTGTCTTTAGTGGTGGGTGTGTGGGCACCTCACTGCATTAAAAGCTCACTGACCAACAAAAGCAAATGATCAGCCACTGATGAGTGTCAAGAGCCCAGGCTTATGATTAAGCCAGGGTCCCCACAGGAATCTATAAAATTATATCCCCAAATATGTGTAGAATGGTATAAGATCACTGTGACTGTCCTAAGAACTGAGTGGTTATTTCCTGTAGAGGTATTTCATATAGAAATGATGAGAAACGTCTATTATTTAACTGACTGCAGCTGCTTTTGCAGTGAAGTGAGTTCGATGCGTTTCCTAGACTGTTCCAACACTCTGCATAGCTTTTGGTCACATCCTCTGCCATTTTCTCATATGGAGTTCAGAGCCATCTTCACCTTCATCCCCAAGGAAAGTACAGAAAAGTGAAATGTGTCAAGTCACTTTCATATCATTGAAGATCACGCAAGTGTTAGAACACTGTGCACCTTAGTCCTCACCATCTGTTTACAGTTACAGAGGTCTTGCCTTCGAAGAAATGATTAAATTGCAGGAAGTGAGGTATTTCATTCATGCACTGAAGGATTCAGTGCTGAGAAAGCCCCCACCTCAAACTGGGGGCTTTATGTGCACATCAGCACTGCCCTGTGTCCCGCAGGACAGCTGATATCATTGGGCCAAAACCATCCACACCTCCCCACAGAGCCTGAGTGAGCTTTCTCTTTAAAGAGGAATAATTTTCTGACCTGATAGTTAATAGTCTTGGCAGCTCCTTATTTCAGCCTCTTAATAACAAGATTTAAAACAAGCCCATGTCCTTTGTCGGAGGACAGAAAACAAGAAAAGTCTTTTAATCCTGCCAGAGTAGTTCAAGGGCAGAAATAAAGGAAGAATCACAGAAGAAATGTGTCACATACACAGAAAGGAAAAGGTGGTTCTAGCTAGAAGGGAGAGGAAGAGATGTGGCTTATGTAATAGGCCCAAGAGAAAGACTGATGAGGAAAATGTCCTTTAATGCTCCTGAAAAATGCAAGTATTCAACAAGACAGTCATCACCCAGGAAAATGGGCACCATCACCTTCTCTACTTGGTGCAGATCCCTCCTGGAATCCCCACAGGGAGCAGAGCCTACTGAGTGAGGTCTTGCTTCCTGGCCCTGAAGCCCCCTGGCCTGATTGCTGTTACTGACCTGAGCATTTCAGATTCCAAATGTCTCACCTTGGCCAAGCTAAAACAGTTCTGATGGGAACTGGGCAGGAACAGGAGAGTGGCAGATACACAGCTGCAAGACCAGGAGTCACAAGCCCCAGCTTCGGAAGCCTTGGAGACCCACGTGTGAAAGAACATCCTCTACACTAGATCTGCTGTACAGAAAATAAAGCAGAGGTTTGGCAATAGGAAGCAATTTGACACCACAGAGTGGTGGCAGGATGGAATTAGAGACAGGATGCGGGCAGTCCGCATCTTAGCTTCCCCAGTGGACTCCCAAGGCAGCCCTGCATCAGTCCCTGACCCACAGCTGTGAGGCTGCTAGAGTGACCTTTGTACAACAGATCTGGGTGTGGTGCTTCCTGCTGCAAAGCAGGTCATATGCTTTAGTCGTGCAGACAACGGTCACCACATTTCCGTCAACATAAGCCCCATGGCTAGTGCAGAGCCTACCTTCACTGCAGCATCAGCAAGCGTTGGTGGCTCGCTTTGTGTCCCTTGTCAAGGAAGCCTTGCGATGAAGACGTGCAGAAATGAGTAAAGCACAGTGCTGTCCGGCCTCCAGGATCTCCTGGGGTGATCAGGAAGGCACAGCCACACTTCAAGGAGGCGTGACACGAGTGCTTCCGCCCGAGACAAGAGTGGAAAACAGAGAGGTTAATTTAAAAACAGAATATTGACACAAGAAATGAATTAACGCAGTGAATCTTTGCTCTTAATTGTAAAAAAAACAAAACATTCTCTGGTAATGATTTTAAGTTGTCTGGGGTTGGTAGCTGTTATCAGCCTGTGTATCACATAGATTCTTGTGTGGAAGCTCTAAGCCCCAGTATCTTACTTAGAATGGAGAGACAGGGTCTTAAAAGATGGGGTTAAATTGTGGTGAGGCCACTGGAGTGGGCTCTAGTCCAGTGTGACTGGTGTCCGTTAAGAAGAGGACATTTGCACATGGAGGCATTGTAGGGAAGGCCAAGTGTAGACCAGGGAGAAGACAACCATCTACAAGTCAAGCAAAGAGACCTCAGAAGAAAGCAACGTTACTGACACAATGTCTGGGGACCCCAGCCTCCAGAACCTTAAAAAAGAAATACATTTCTGTTGTTTAAGCCACCAGGTCTGCTAAGGCAGCCCTAGAACCCGAGTATAATCTTCACTCCTGCTTAGTCGGCATGTGCCAGCGCTGGGCCTTCTGCATCTGATGGAAAGGGTGTCTTCTGTCAGGAGTATCTGGCACCCTGCACAGAGGGGTTCTGTATCTCTGGTCACAGAAGTTGCAGCACATGCTCTGTTATCCTCACCACAGCACTGGTGAGGAAAAGCTGAGAAGAACTTCTACATTTTTGTCAACATGAACCAAGTACCTGATTTTTCTCTCCATGAGAATTTTCTGTCTGTAACAACAATTTTGATTGCACAGTCAAGATCACAATTTAAAATAGAAAGTTTTGGAGAAGCAGCCAGTTTTAAAAGAGAAGCCAAGTCTGGAGGAGAGCAGGCGCTGCGTGAGGGAGGAAGTGTACCTGTCCCAGTGCACTATTCCTTGGAGTGGCCTCTTCCTTGAAAGAGGGCCAATGCCATTCCTTGTTTGCTTACCTACTGTGACTTCAAAGCCAAAGAAACAAATAAACTAATCTAGCAGAGTCCTGAAAACAGCCCTAAATGGATGTTGGTATATGTTCGGTTT